ACCCAACCCAAACAGAACCCCTCCTACCCCCAGGCGGGCGGAGACCCTACCTCCTTGGGATTTATTAGGTTTGTTTGATTTGGTTTTCAACTATGTCCACTACCTCAATGTAGTCTCTTACTCGTACACAAATTGAAAGAAATAGAGTTGTCAATGGCATAACTGCACACAGAAGAAAGGAGGGGATTCTCGAACACGGGAAAAGATCCAATAACTTGGAAAGGATTGAACGAAGAGCCGTATGAAATGAAAATCTCATGCATGGGGCTAACTAGAGTGACAGTTCTATCAACTTTTCCACTATGATCCTAAAAAAAACCAACCTCTGACACTTTAGAATTAATTAGTTTCTTGCCTAATTATAAGATCCGGTAAAAAGACTTGCAATTTATGAAAAGAGAAATCTAAGACTCCCACATAATAATCTTCTCATTCGGGCTTACTACTACATAAGCGTTTCAATAAAAAGGTTATTGTTTTTCCTATGCAGCAAAATGATGAATCAAAAAGTTAAAACTTAAGATCAAAGCTAAATCACAAAGGTTTTCCATTTGCCATGCTAAACATATCACCATGGACGAGATCTAATAAAATAATGGAGTAACTAACTTAGAGAGTGAAACAAACCAGTAAATTGACTGACCAAAACATTTAGGGCCCGTACGGTTTGCGGGATTTGATGGTATATGGAATTTCCATGTTTGGTTTAAAAGAAAGTCTGAAAATGAAATCCCACAAACATCGGATTTAGGAATCCTATGGGGTTAGTTGGTACGGGGACTTCATAGGATTTGTTTGTAATAATGTTTTAAAATATGTTAAAAACATTCATTTTTAATAATCAATTAATAAAACTATAAAAGGTAATTTAATTACTTTATAATTACTTATAGTTTGTTTTTATAAATTATCTATAAAGAATGAAATTCAATTCCATTCCAAATCCTACAAACCAAGCACACCAAAAATTTCAAATCCTTCCACGAAATCCAAATCCGTAAAAAGCATTCCATCAAACCAAACGGGCCCTTAGAGGATAAAAGTTTTGTGTTGCCACACACCATACCTTCGCTTGAAAAATTTTAGACATGAGCCGAAAACCAAGTTTCCAATCAAAGAAACCAATTTTAATGAAATATATATATATATATATATATATATATATAGGTGGAGGTTCAAATGAGAACACCTCCATTTTACGAAACATTTTTACCATAGAACAACAACAAAGATCGTTTCAGAAACATGTTTACCATAGAAAATCAGATGAGGTAGAAAAAGAAACCTAAATTGATTTTAATAATTTTCCCCAAATTCAAATCCCCTAATTTTGAATCTGAAATGAAACAAATTGTGCCCAAGTAATTAAAGGTTAACAGTATGAACTACACCTAGAACCCAATTAAGAAAATTAAAGAAAAGGAATTCACACAAATCAAACCTAAATTTCACCGAACCCAAATTTTAAATACACTCACAGAAACCAAATTTTCTCCAAGCAAATGAAAAGTTAACAAAATTGAAGCGTATCCAAAACACTAAAATTCTTAAAATGAGATAAAGTAAGGTTTTCACATAAACCAAAACTGTATATGACCAAACCCTAATTTTGAATATACTCAAATAAACCAAATTTTCTTCAAGCAAATCAAAGGCAAAATCGAAGTGTACTTAAAACCCAAATCACAAAATTAAAGAAACCAAGGACTTCACATAATAAATTTCGAAAACCCCTAATTTTAATTTACTGAAGTATCCCTTATTTTCCCCCAAATTGATCGAAGTTCACAATTTTACCATATCTAGAACCAAATTCACAAAATTAAACAGCAATGTAGGTAGAGAAACCCAGGAATCCAAAACCAGCACATATAACTTATGCAAGATGGCATAAACGTAGCTTGTAACGCCCAAATTTCTTCAAATTAACAGACCCCACCAAAAAAAAACCCTAGTTTCGAGAACCCACCAAAACAAACAAAATTCACCTAAACCACCTGATTCTTAGTAAAATTGAGCTACACAGGTAACCGAATTCGAAGAAATAAGAAGTATGTAAGCACAAAATCAGCAAAATCCAACATGAAGCATATCCAATTCAAAGTTAAATGTATAGAGAGAGAGAGAGAGAAGAAAGAGAAAGAACCATCTTCTTCCAGCCCGAAGGTGCAGGGAGCTCCAAGGAAACAGCCTCATCGTTCGGACCCAAGCTCGCCATCCTTGGAAACAAAAAAACCCTAGAAATTTGCAAAGACAAAAACCAACGAACCCTATAACTCTTTGTAATCAAGAAAGAATAAATGTACTTATATCTGCACAAATCATAAACTGTAGCTAAAAGAGCCATATACGTATAGCTTTCTCTCTCTAAAAACTTCAAAAACGATGGATAAACATACACTCTACCTTGGTGAGTCTCTCTTGAACTTGGATTTTGTTTCACGAAAGTCTGGGTCTGAACTGAATTCTCTTTCTGAAGAACGGTCAGAAGAGTATATATGTAGGAACATATATCATTTTTGCCCCCTGAACTATACATAAATGGACTTTATGGTCCTTATAGTATCATTTTAACTTCTTAGATACCCTTGACTAATATATTAAAATGTTACAAAGAATATTGCAGTGAGTAAAACAAATCAAGTAAGAGCTACTAAAGCACACAATTCAGATAAAAATTGACCCAACTAAAAACTATAGATATATCAACAATCCAAACAAGATTTACCTGCTTTTATGAAAATAAAAGAACTGATCCTACAACTCATCTATAATAAATAAATAAATAAATAAAAGACTATTACAGCATTTGATGGCCACACGACTGCTACTTGATTACTTGTACAAACTTGAAATCTGCCATATCTGCAAGCAAATGTGACTATGACAGCTCATCATAAATAGTTCATTCTAAGTTCTTTGAAGTTTAACGTCACAAACATACATTTAATTAAGGTTAGATAAAAATAAAATATGGTTTTTAGTCAGTATAGTATCTCTTAAAAGAAAAAATCCTTACACATTTAAACCAGTTGTTTAATTCTTCTGCTTCGATTTATGTATTTTTTTTCTTGTCTTTTTGTGGGTTTATTGATCATTCAAAGTTAGTAATACAAAAGTGATATGCTTGAGGTAGGTATTGGAACTATTAAAGCAAATGGTAGATTTTGGCCAACTTAGATGTAATTAAGGATGTTTGAGTAATTAAAGTATAATACAAGGTCTATTTGTGTTATTTTAATATAGTATAGGGTGAGGTCAATGGTTTTTCTTTTATGTCTACGGCTAAAAGATCCGGATATATATGAACAAGTGCGCTCGTGCGTGCGAGTAAACGACGTCGGATCATGAGACAACCAATCAAGTTTTAGACGGATAAGATGTCAACTTTGAACCAATATAAAACCGATCTTATTTTTATTTTTATTTTGAGAAACCATTCAATAAATTCTTTTTGGCAAAATCATTATTTAAAAATTGTATTACATTTTGTTTCATGTGATTTGTTCAAAATTTAAATTTGGTCACTTAAACGTATATTTTCTATGTTTCTTTGAATTAATACTTGTAATGGGGTTTCGTTAAATATGTGCATGTATATCTTACATGAGGCACATTCGTCTTTTACTTAATTTTGATTATATTTTCAAAAAATTATAATAAGCTAATTTAATATATACATAATTAATTAATATATGTATATATTATGCATATACACTGTATATTATACCCTGTAAACATGGTTTCTCGATACTATCAATGAACCTCTCCCCTTCATTGTTCTGTTCTTTCTTCGACGAACCTCATTCCCCTTCCCTTAGATTCCTTTATCTGGTGAAGCTCATTTGATGAACAAAGTTACAATGACAAGAACAAAAAAAAACAAGCAACACTCTGATCCCCTTCTTCGCATACACTACTCTCTTTTTTACAAACAGACAATTAGTTACAAGAATTGAAGAAGAAACTTGTAACACCCTATATTTTGGTATGTTTACTTTTCGGGTTTTATATAAATAATTATCTTAGAAATGACCCTTAGATCGAATCTTGAATGGTTGGTTTTTGGATAAATCTTTATCAAGAAAAAAAACCAAGAAAAGCGGGGACCTAAGGCAGCAAGTTGGCAAAGATGGGGGAGGAAGGCACAGCACACACGCGACCCGGCCAACGCGACCTAGGTCGCGGCTCCAGGGTTGCGGTGACAAGGTCGCGTAAGGTCACAGCCATTAACCCGAGATTTCTTCGATTTTTTCTTCATTTCTCATTCATCCTCTCTCTCTCTCTCTCTCTCTCTCTCTCACAAATCGGTCCACCCTCATTTATTTCCTCAAGGCAAAGGATTTAAGATCATTTAAAGAGATTGGAACTAGAGATCAAAGCTTGTGGATTTCAACCCAAGATCTTCATCTTCTTTACCACATTTCCTACCATTTTGACTTGATTCAGGGTTTTCCTAAAAATCGCCTTTGTGGGTTCATCCTAACCCCTTTTAAACTATACATATTTCAAAATTCTTAATTTTAGTCTTGTAGAACATTTCTTTTGATGTATTTTACATATTTGTAGATTTTGACCAATTTTAGGTATTTTGGGATATTTGAAAGTTTTACCCTTTTTGCTAGAAAACGTGGAAGCTTCAAGTATATGTTATAAGAATGTGTTTTTGGTACACAAAAATGTTATTATGAAGCATGAACTACATGATTTAAGTTTATTTTTGATTCTCACATACTTGAAGGTATTTCAGGAAAATGGTAACATTTCGGAAAGAAAGGATAATTGGGAGATGAATGTTTGGGGTTTTGAAACATATGGAATCCTTATTGATTTTATTGATTGTTTTGGTATGCGTTTGAGTTAAATAAACTTTAAAAGCCATTGAGTTCAATGTTGACATTTATGTTGGGAACTATGAGTTTGATCATAATGAAATGTTTTAAAGCAATTGTATGCTTAGACTATATATATGTATGTGTAAATATATATATATATATGATGGGATAGTTGTTTCCATGAATTAGCTAGATACGAGTAATAATTCACCGGAGGACTCAAACTATAAAGTGTGGATGGTTAATCTTGACGACCGTATGACAAGTAATGATTTGATTCTAGTAAAGAAGCATGTCCTAGTTCATTTGAGGACTCGAACTATAGACCATGGGTGGTTGAACTCGATGACTAATTTTTCATAATAGAAGCTCCAGAACATGGATTTATGGCTTACTTTTGTGTTTCCGCTACGATTAATGGAAATCAGTTCTCCTTCATCATCAAGTTTATAAAATGTTATATCTGAGTGTTAATTGCTTTCTTTTATAAACTGTTTGCACTCACTAGGCGTCAAACCCAACATTTTCTCTTAAAAACATGTATATCAGGATATCTTAGTGGTGGGACTCTGAAGGCTTGAACGGAGTGTTTGGATGCCGATAGAGGCACTTTTTGGGAATTAGAGCTTTTGTCAGTTGGTGTTATATTTTGTCAGGATTATTTTGATGAACGTAGCGACACCCAATCATAATTTGAATTTAGGATAGTTTAGATTAGTAGGTTGTTATTTATCTTTATTCCCTTGAGTTGTAAACGCTTTACAATTTCCCTATCTTGGGTGATTTTTATTTTTATAAGTATTGACTTTAATCGAATTTAAGTTTTAAATTTAAGCCTATTTTAGGGGTGTTAGAAAACTCTACTTTTGTAGATCCACCTACTTGATAAGGGCCAATCCCTTCTTCGCTTTATAGTTTCAGTAAACCCCAAAAATCATAACTCACTCCAATAGTTTTGATGAAAGTGCGCTTAAAGTCCAGGTTTTTGAGTCAATTAAATAATATTTTTAATATTTTTCGTGTTCAAGAGTATTGCATTTAAGATATTGTGATTGATGCCAATATGGGTGTTGTTTGGGGGGGGGGGGTTGATGAAGATTGAATACTAAAAAGTGAAGAGAGAGAGAAGCTGGTTAAGATATTCATGTGAGAGATACATGCCTTTATTTAATATAACTTCTTTTAACGCTTTAAAATAGAGGGACCATGTATAGAAAAATGAAAATTTTATGGACATTTGAAGTAGATTGTCCGTTTAAGTGACCAAGTCGAAACTTTGAGTAAACCACAGAGACCATCAATGTAGTTCACTCTTATTTTAATTTTTTTAATTTTGAATATGACAATACATGGGACTCGATCATGCTTGTGTCAAATAACTTTTTGAGGATTTATATCAAGTAGTTTTTCGAGAATAGAAAAAAGAGATTTCAACATATATATATATATATATATATAGAGAGAGAGAGAGAGAGAGAGGAGTAAGTTATATTTTTGTCCCTGTGGTTTGCTAATGATTGCGATTTTTGTCTATATGGTTTGTAATTCATAGTTATTTTTGTCCTTATGATTTACCATTTATTGTTGTTATTGTCCTTATGGTTTACAATTATTTACTGTTTTGGTCCCTTGTACTTAAAAGGTAGAAACTGTTTCAAGGACAAAAATAGCAATAAATTGCAAACCACGGAGATGAAAATCACAATATATAAATCATTGAATGAAAATGGAAATTATTAACAAACCACTGGGACAAAAATCGTAATTTACTCTATATAGAGAAAAGAAAGTGATTGTAGAAATTTGAGTTGGACTCTTGGCAATAGCTTGATGAAAAGGTCTGCAAGCTGATGATGGGAATGAATAGGCATCAACCAAATGATTTGTTGTATTGTCTTCTCTCGAATAAAATGGCAGTCTATTTCGATATGCTTTGTTCGTTCATAAAAAATGGGGATTGGAGGCAATCTGCATAGCGGACTTGTTATCACAAAAGAGTAGCCTAGTGGACGAGGAAGATGAAACACCAAAGTCAGCTAGCAATTGCCAGAGCCAAATTAATTCACATGTGGTTAATGCCATCGCCCGATACTCGCTTATATTGATGAACGAGATATTGTTGTTTGTTCCTTGGATTTCCAAGTAATTAAGGAAATATCCGAGAAAAACGCGGAATCCAATGACATAACACCAACTATCAACACAATCTCCCTCGTCGGGATCACAAAAAGCACATAATTGTCAAGAAGAAGAAGCTGATAGAAAAAGACCTTGGCTAAGCTCATTCTTAATATGCTTCACCAAGTATAACACGACTAAAGAATGAGTGGTATCCTGAATAGCCATATATTGGGCCAATTTATGTACAATAAAAGAGATGTCGGACCTTGTAATTGTCAAATACATGCGATGGCCAATGAAACTTCCATAAGGAGAAGGATCTTGAAGAGGTTCTCCATCAAAGGATGACATGTTGACGTGTACAGGCTCCATAGGGGTAATTATAGGCTTAGCAGCTACAAG